AGTGCTGGGATTACAGGCTGAGCCACCGAGCCCGGCTTAATTTTTGATTTATTGTAGAGATAAGGTCTTGCCAAGTTGCCCAGGTGGGTCTCGAACCCACGGGACCCGGCAATCCACTCACCTCAGCCTCCCAAAGCGCGGGATTACAGGCTAAACCACCGAGCCCGGTTTGTTATTCTTTTCTTGAAGAAAGACCCTCAGTTGGTATAAACATCAGGTCTGCAAAACATGAATCTCTGCATATGAAAATAAGAGTCAAGAATGCATATGGCATACTAAGAAACAAAACATCAGCCATTTTATTTTCCTTTCTTTTTTTTTTTTTCTAATAGGAATGTATTTTACAGTCAGGTGTGGTGGCTCATCCTGTAATCCCAGCACTTTGCAAGACTGAAGCAAAAGGACTGCCCGAGCCCGGGGGTTCAAGACCAGCCTGGGCAACTTGGTGAGCCCTGGTCTCTACAATAAATCACAAAAACTAGCCAGGTGTGGTGGCATGCATCTATAGTTCCAGCTACTTGGAAGGCTAAGGCGGAAGGATGACCTGAGCCCAGCAGGTCGAGGTTGTGGTGACTGTGAGCGTGCCACTGCACTCCAGCCTGGGTGGCAGAGTGAGACTTCAACTCAAATTAAAAAAAATTAGCTTGTCAGAGTTTGGTAGTTATCAGTGAGAAGTCTGATTGTAAGTAAACCAAGGAGCTAAACTAAGGATATGCAAAGGCATAGAGAATGGTATAATGGATACAGGAGACAGAAGGGGGAGGGGGAATGGGTGGAGGAACAAGACATCACCTATTGGGTACAATGTGCACAGGTGGGAGTGATGGGTACACTTAAAGCCCAGACCAAAAACTATTTGTATCCCCCAAAGCTAATGAAAAATAATAATACATAAGTAAATTAGAATTGCTTAGTCCAGGAGTTCAAGACCAACCTGAGCAAATAAATAAATAAATAAAAATAAAATAAGTAAACTAAGGGAAACGTTGATTCAAAGTTCAGTAATTCAAATTTATTTTGATAAGGACAAAGAAAACCAAACACGATTCAATGCTTTGTTGTTTCTAGATATTTAAGGTTTTCAGTCTGTCTGTAGCATTTGAGGTTGTTGACCACCTCCCTCCTTGAAATTCTCTCATCTCTTCAATTCCGAGAATTGAATTTTCCTACCTGTGACTATTCCATCTGTGGCTCCTTGGCCTCTTTCCTTCACCATAAATGCAGACATTCCCTGATCTCATTCTCCTTTGGCCATCTCATCTGCTATGACTTCAATTATCTAGCCTTGGGTTACTCTCAGCTCCAAGACCCTCACTCAGCTTTACTCCTAACTCCAGCCCCACATTTCTGCTTCTTTTTTTTTTTTTTTTTTGAGTTGGAGTCTCTGTCGCCCAGACTGGAGTGCAGTGGCCGCTCCTGGCCACCTCAGCCTTGACCTGCTGGGCTCCGGCGATCCTTCCGCCTCAGCCTTCCAAGTAGCTGGAACTACAGGCACGTGCTACCATGCCCAGCTAGTTTTTTTTATTTATTGTAGAGATGAGGTCTCGCTGCCCAGGCAGGTCTCAAACTCGCGGGCTCAGGCAATCCACTCACCTCAGCCTCCCAAAGGCGCGGGATTACAGGCTGAGCCACCGAACCCAGCTCATTTCTGCTTCTTGAGCATGTTGTATCAGTACTTTTAAATTCAACTTGCCCTAAACTAAATTCATCTTAGACCTTTTTTTTTTTTTTTTGAGTTGGAGTCTAACTCTGTCACCCAGGCTGAAGTGCAGTGGCACGCTAATGGCTACCACTTCTGAGCTCAGGTGATCCTTCAGCCTCAGCCTTCCAAGTAGTTGAAACTACAGGCACATGCCACCATGCCCAGCAAATATGTTTAATTTACTGTAGAGAAGAGGTCTCACCAGGTTGCCCAGGTTGGTCTCGAATCTCTGGGCTCAGGCAATCCTCTCACTTCCGCCTCCCAAAGTGCTGAGATTACAGGCTGAGCCATCGTGCCTGGCCTTTTTTGATTTATTGTAGAGACAAGGTGTCTCCAAGTTGCCCAGGCTGGTCTCGAACCCCTGGACTCAGACAATCCTCTCGCCTCCACCTCCCAAAGTGATGGGACTACAGGCTTGAGCCATCATGCCCAGCCCATCATAGACTTTAAAATATCTGCTGTTCCAGACCTCATCTCTACAATAAATCAAAAAAGAGCCAGGTGTGGTAGCGTGCACCAGTAATTCCAGCTACTTGGAAGACTGAGGCAGAAGGATGACCTGAGCCCAGGAGGTCAAGGCTGCAGTAACTGTGAGCGTGCCACTGCACTCCAGCCTAGGTGACAGAGTGAGACACCAACTGAAAAAAAGAAAAAATTGGCTATTCCTAAAATAAACAATTCTATGAATGGTAACATTTTTCTTTAGGCTTTCCAAATTCATGCCCAAGAGTTTTATCACTTTCATCTTCCTGCTGTGTCTATTTAATTTTCAAATCCTCTTTCACAGTCTCACATTCATTCTTTCCTTTCTGTTACTCACTCTGTTATCCTGCCTCTTATTTCCTCTTACTGAGACTGCCGCAACTTCTCCCTATTGTTTTCCCTATGTGTGTGGTTTCCTGTCTTCAATACCTTTTGCACATTCTTGCCAGTTATCTTCCTAAAATGTGGCTTACTTTCCTTCATTCTATAAGCACGAATTGTGTATGCACAACGTGCCAGACACTGATAAAAATTCATGTGAATCCATTCATGTAGATGTATCAAATACCTACAATGCCCCAACCCCTTCCTAGGCACTGAAGCTAGCCATGAATGGGTCAGACACCTAGAGCTTACTGGGATACACAGTAAGATACAACCCCTGCTTTCAAAG